AAGCAAATTCTGTGTCAGAGCTGGCCAAATTTTTAACTGCAACAAAGATGCTGGCATATGGCGTGCTCTCCTAACTGCTCCTGGTTCGACTCAAAGATGGGGAAAGGGGAGCAGCCAACGACGTCCTTCTTAACTTCGCAAGCGTTTGAGCTGATAATAAGCTCCCCGGCTCAGCTGGCGAACTACTCTTTTGCGCTATTTGCAAGTAGTGGCCACTACTGATGAAGCACACAGAGCATTATCACATTCTGCGTTAGTGTGTCTATTCTACATCTTTAGCATTTAGCAAACAAAGAGTGTTTGGTGCTGTTTGAAGGGATTTGTTTTCTTTCATGCTGGGATTTTGTTGATTCAACCATTCGGCTGTGTCAAATTCTCAGGAAAGCCAATGAACTATTGTGAATATGCATCGCAGTTAGAATCAGGCCGTCAGCCACTACACATCTAGGAAAGCGTTAGTTGGCCGTTTCGTCTCATGGAGACTCTTCAGTAGCGCGCAGTAGCCGAATTCGGCAGGCTTCGAACCCACGACCTTTACTATTGCGAGCCAGTGAATTGTGCTACTGAGCCATGGTTGACTGCTATCAAACTGCGATATAGCCCTGCTCATCCTCTACTGTCATACATGCGTTGAACATGCTTGGGACGAATCTTCACCAAAACAAGACGAATCACCCTACTACTTACAACTAAGCAATGCACTTAATGAACTGGGATTGTTCTGCTTTGGTTCAGTAGACACTTCTACCCTTTTGGGTCGTCTACTGGGGAATTACGTACTGAGAATTTTGTCCTACTGCTGTATGACCTGACGATCACACATGATGTAGGTCCATCCCAGCTTTCAGACAAATTATAGGCAGCTGTACAAAATCTGTTGTCCTGAAGTGTAAAGCATTTTATAATGCACAAGACATGAAGCGTTATTAAAGTACCACGGTTTTCGGTTATTACTGCTTGTGCCTTTTTACTTCATCCGTCTAGAATCACTGGCCCGTAAACCTACTTATTCCGATGCACTAGCTACAACCCACACCTGTAGTCTTGGGCCACGTTGAACTTGCTTCATGCTTGGCCGCACCAACATCCAGTTTAACGTCTGGCCCGCGAGCGTTCACTCATTTTGCGTGGAAAGCTCTTGATCTGCTTGTTGTTCAGTGGTCAAGTGTTGCTTCCAGTTTCCCAGCGGCCTGGCAGCCATTGCGTCATGTGTCGTGAGGCTGGGTTCATTGACAGTCCGTTCGCTTGCTGCTGTTCGGGCTGATTCGTTTTCATTTTTTATAACCAAACTACGCTTCGTTCACAGTAGACAGATCAAACGAGGTTCGGTCTATGGGCTATGGGATCGTAAGCAGGTCGCACGGACGATGACTGATTGAACTCTGTTCGCCAGCGCCGCCTTAGTCATATTCAAGCATGCGATGGGCTGTCAACGCAGTACGTCGAAGCAAGTTAAGAATTAATGCAGGGACATTATTCGTTTGCTTCAACGAGCAATATTCACTAAGATTGCCCAATCTCTCCATACTTATTTGAATTTGCCATTGCCAGTGTCTTCCGCTGAGAGACGAAAGGAGCGCATAGGCGCGATAAAACCACGGGCAGATATCATGCTTGTGCTATTGCTTTGCTGGAGGATGACCCAAGACCAGTCTAGGTATATTAAATTACCTAGCACCAGATCAATTTGCATAGGTTCCGCGTTCTCCCATGACCAAATTTTGGTGGGTGCCTGTCCTTCTAGTAGCCGTTACTGGTGAATAACTGAAGCGGGCGGCTAGATTGGCGGTGGTGTTGAAGAAACTACCTTACGAGGAACTGCATAAGTATACTTTACATGCATTATTTTGAGGCGTTTGCGCGGTTGTCACAATATCGTAACCAAGTTCAAGGAAACACTGCGATGCCAACGTCCGGGAGTGGATGGTCTACCGAACGACCAGCCCTTGGTACCAGCATGGTAGTTCGGGGTCATCTGGTTCAACTCTGTATGCCAGTCCTCGACGCTAATTATCTGCGACCTCTAGATGAAATTAGAAATGTATAGTACAGGACAGCGGATGACAGAAAGAGTTGAATGAAGAATATGTCGCCACACTTAGAAGTGACTCTGTCAGCTCTCCAGTATGGAGTCCATGCGGTCTAAGCTCCCTGTGGTCACGCGTCATAAAAGATGGCACTTTGCAGCATCATTCATTGATGCCGCCAAACTAGTTCTTCCTAGTCTGACCTACGGTGTTAGAGTAAAATGGAAGAAGCCAATGGGGCGCATGTGGAACAAAAAAACAACCATAGCGAATTCACTGTGGATTACAGCTAGCCCCACCATATCGAAAAAGATATCCAATCTACTATGATTCCAAAGATGCACTTATATGTATCCACAGCGCTATCGCAATATCTTTCACACCAGATAGTACTCCACAATCCCAGTGAGGTAGTAGATAGCCGTTTCAACCTGTCGCTTATCACTGATAGAGCGAAAATATCAAACCCTTCAGAATTCCAACCTATGACCACAAACAGCTTATGCTACGGAGCTGTAGGGACAATGGCGATCTGTCATGATTTACAAGCTAACTGGGACAGCACGTTTCATTCGCTACTACCGAGCAAGTTACAAAGGTTGCAGAGGACAGAGTTGGTTACGAAAGACATGAACTTCTTTGAGATTAGCTATGTACGACAAAGCAGTTGGAAACTGTTAGGGCGGATATTTTAATGTACTCATGAGTAGGGGGATTTTGATGTAAATGCTTCAGAGTTCGTCGCACCTGCTTCTAAAGCAGCTAGCACTCCACATGTTCGAAAAGTTACTAGACCGAAGTTTCGACCTGTTGGGAATCATCGATAGTACTCTTCCGCCTGATCCACTAGGATTCGAAACCATGAGCACCAACAGCTTATTCCACTGAGCCACGGGGGTCATGGTTTGCAAGTTAACTGCGATGTAGTGTCTTATACTCCACTGCTATGCAGGTTTCGAACGTCGCAGACTATAGGGTTGGCCACTAAAGCTACGACTTCAATTGACCGTTGCTATGTGCGACACAGCGTTTAGACAGTGTCGGGGTGCATATTTAATGTACTCATGAGTAGGGGATTTAAAATGTAAAAGTTTACGGGTTCTTTGCTGTTGTTTCCAAATCAGATAGGCCAAAAGATGTGCACTGCTGTCGCGACCCAACGAATCAATACAGCCGGTTATGCTTTGTTTGCATATGGAAGACTATCCGATCTGGATGCTTTTGCGAGGAACCACCAACTAGTAACAAATAAACATGTCCATCTGGTTCTCCCGTAGCCCATGACACTTAAAGATGGGTGTTGTGAAAGCGATCGGAAATAAAATCACGGCACACGATGAACAGTGTCAGTGCTTTGTTGTACGCTCCCTATCATAATCACAGTTGCAGCTGGCACGTCATCCCGTAAATCAGCGGTCACTAGCCATGCAGATCACGGCCCACTTCGAAATGCAGGCAATACCATTATGCGTTGCTTGCTTGCAGATAGGTTACGCTAGTTGTCTCTAACCCCAAAATACCGGCTGATAACATTTACTAGGGCAAGCACTGTCGCATTGATAGGAAGGTGACCACTGCACTAGCCTAATGAGTTTAAGCAAATGTGACATTCTTCATTGGGCTCCCGCGTCACCATGCCCTAACGCAAGCAGAGTTTCGTTAGTTGATCTATAGGCTCCTCTCAACCTTTGGGCACATCTGTGTGGTTTTTCAATTTACGCATTTTACCGGTAACATATGTACAATCTATCCCTTGCGTTTTAAATAATATGCATTCATTTCTTTCCCTTGGCATGTAACGCCGTCTACAACGATAACCTGAAGAATTACGATTTGACCACAACTATGGCGCAGCGATCCGTGTCTTTTGGTGGAACTGCTTCCATCAAACGTCGCTGGAAGGGCCAATCAGCTTACTCGATCACTACTAGTCTGTATAAAGTATTTTGAAACAAGTCTGTACCCTATGATGGGTTCACGTGTGCTGAAACGTGTCTCGCATAATTGAGAACTATTACTTGTATTTTCAATATTACAATACACGTGTTAACCAGTTGCTAACAAAAGTTTTGTTCGCTCTTGTTTAACGTCAGGTTAAATTAGTTTGCCTGTCCTTCAATATGGGACGGAACTTCGGAATAGCAGTTATTAGTTTGTGTAAGCAATGCCTTCTGGAACACGGGGACCAATACTTGATAATAATAAAATAATGATAATGTGTCAGCTGTACGCCGCAACGGTGCTTCGCTGCCGCGCGACCACCACCAGTCGCGCGCGGGCTGAGTATACCGCGAGGACGCCCACCCCCACGCGGATTCGAACCGGTGACCTTATGGTTGCAAAGCAAACGTGCAGACCACTCGGCCACCGGCCAACATTTAGAATAGTCATGACGTCTATGGATTGAATTGAGTAACTCTCATTACGACTTTATCAAGGTGCTGTTGTGAAAAAATCCTAACACCATATTTGGGGTTATTCGCGTGGTTCATACTCACTCGGAGACACAAAATGCTGAGTAATGGACCAATACTTTTCCAACACTTGCCCTTTGAACGAAGCAGAGTAACGCGCAGCGAATTCGCAGAACACATCGGAGTTAAATTGACGGAACACTTTTGTTGCTGGATGTAGAAGTATAGCGAACCCCGTATTCCAGCTCAGTAATTCCTTGAATATTACATCATTATCACTTCAAGAGGCACAAGTTAAACAGACTGCGCAAAGTAGTGCCACTTCTGGACCTTATTTCTTTCCCTGGTTGTGACTGACCGAAATAATTTGTCCTCTAACTTAGTTGAATATTTACTTCTGACGATGCGGTTGTTTTAAGCCAAAATCTCAAGGCCTTTGCTAAATCACATCTAGGCTTCATGTTCTTTTATTCCCACTCGTCATGAATTTAGTGAAACGTCATGTGAGAAACGCGAGAAGAAAAACTATCTTCTGGCTGCTTCTTTGCTAATGACTTACGCTTCCACTTCGCGCTCCCGATAGTGCCATTCTCGAAGTTCCATATCCTGTAATAGTTTTCGCCTTTTAGCCACTCGCTTCGGATCACCAGCAATCTCGCTGAAGGGTTCCAGTTTGATTTCGATAAGACGTCTTTCTCTGGCTCGTTCGATCATTTCCACATCATGCAAACCAGCTGGGAGACCTTTTCCCAGTCCCAAAGTAGCCAATGTCAGCACTTCGGGTGTTTCGCCCACATTAACTACATACGGTGGTGAGTAAGGCTCTGTCTGCGCTTCCGATTCGCGATAGCGAGTTTGGACTGCTTTGTTGGCAAGCTGTTTGACCGACGGTGATAGGAGATTGTCAACCAGTATTTCATGTCCCGCGGTCATCTCATTGATGGCCATGTCGACGGCTTTCGAGGTACCATGGATCTGGAAGATAGAATTTCAGCATAAATCCGCTGTGGATAAGATGCAAAAAGTTTAGTTTGAAAATCAGCCCAAAGTGCTTTTTGCGGATTATAGAGCACGCATATGTTAGCGAAAGAAAATATTAGACAGACTGGTCACAGATACAGTCAAAAATACAGGCAAGCAAAATCTAGCAGTTCAGTGCGGCACGCGACAATAGAGAGCAGTTAGCGATTGCTGCACCTTTCCTATTAAATTTGACTGAACACTTTGGGAGTGTAAAGCGGACGTTATTGACAACTGCGTAGTATTTCATTAAGCTCAATGGGATGCTGATAAACTATAAGTCCGTATAGTCAAAATCCTATATATATATATATATATATATATATATATATATATATACGTATATCTAGAAAGGGCCAAAACCCGCATGCATACAGCGGAATCGCTCCTACTGCAGAGCGATGCTGAAGTCACGACGGCGCCATAGGTGAAGGAAGTTAGCAATAACAGGCTAGCCATAGAGATACGTCGTAAAATCTTCTCCATCCAATCGCCACTGCTAACAGAATTCCCAAGGTAAGTGAATTTGTCGACCACTACCACTGGATGCGCCGAAAGGACGACAGTAGGATACGCGATTGGCCACTGTTGTAACGGGACCACATGCTTGGATGGAGCAAAAGTCAACGCAGATCAGGTGAAAATCTTCAGAGGCAATCGCTGGGGGTTTTTGGAAGACTTACAAATAACTGTGATATCACCTGTGTACTGCAAGTCCCTCTTTTTGAAGGGTCGTCATTTTAGGTCGATCAAGCATATCGGCAGGCTGGGATGTCAGCAAAAATTATCTCCCACCAAATGCTTCATCCATGGAACTTCCTTTCAGTGCAAGCTATTGCTACTCTCACATATTTCTATTCAGAAGACAATGTGAAGACGCATAGACACAAGCAAACTACGTGATGTAGCCCGTATCTATCGAGAGACGAACCGCGTAGGCGTTATGCCCTCTTAAAATCGATGCATAAGGACTTATATATGTGCTAACACACAAGTTGGTTGCTTTATGTTGGGACTTTATCACTAGTGTCAAATCGTGTAATGCATTGAAAATAGTACATCCTAATACCACTCCTTAAAGCCGATTAATCAGAGGGCAGAAATGATGATGGTGCAATAGAAGAAGAGGGCGTCATGTTCGGGCCCCATTCCAAGTAGCTACGTTAGATTCCAAACTTTAGACGGTATCCTCTCAATGTGGTTATAGGTAAGTACGCAAGTAAACGTGCGTGTTTGGAAAAATTGAGGAATTAATGCACCACATGACGACACGAAAGTAAATTTCGCAGTGATTTAGGTTAGTCAATTTACTTGAGAAATCATTGAATGTATGTATGTAATCTCAACAGTCTAGCAACTAGACATAGAGCTCACAAAGTCATGTAGATTAGCAGCTAAGGGGAATTCACGGCGTCATACTCCTCGTAGCATAGTAGTTATACCTTAGCCAAACACTTCAGCTACTATGTCGCGGGAAGAAAGGAAGTATCAAACATGTGAATCAATACCATTCTGTACAAGATTCTTCCACTGATTCCATTTGCGGGCCAGGTCTTCAAGAGTGTTAAGCTATTGGCACTCCTCATCTGTGGGTCCCCATCCTAGAAGACGTACGGCTAGACAAGACGTCAGTGATTACATGTGCTGTCGTCGAATGGAAGGCTGACCACCACGCCGTCGCCACCAGACAAATCCTTGGCTAGCGAAGAGAGCGCGACGTGGTAGACGCATGGGCGCTAGACGTAGGACGTGACCGAGCCATCCAACTGGCGCAGTAGAACCAGTTTGTTGAAGAGAATACTCGACTTCCCCAAGATGCGACGTCGAATGTCATTACTGTTAACTCGATCTAGCAACCAAACGCGAGCAATCCTCATTAAGCAATCGCTCTCGAAGGCAGAAAGACTACGCATGTCTTCCATGTGAATCGGCCAGGACTCGCTCACAAACAACAAAAATGAGCGAACAGATGCACTGTAAACTCGGCCTTTCAGCTAGAATGGGACATCGTGACAACGCCACTAGTGCTTCAGGTTGGCAAATGCTGATCGGGCTTCAGTAATGCAAAGAGAAACATTTTGCTCCTAGTGCCAGAAGCAGAAACCCAGCTCCCATGGTAGATGGAACTATCTGCCTGTTCAAGTTGTGCACCTTCGAGAGTGAGCACGGGTGCAGGTGTAAGCGACCCCTTTAGTAGTACTTTACACTTCAATGGGGCGAAGCTCATGCCATACTTAGACGTTTCAACCGCCAAACAAACCAGAATGGGTTGCATACCCTGGGGTTCGTCGCCAAATAGGGCAATATAATCAGCATAATCCAAGCCAGTCACGCGATCACCCGGTAGAAGCTCCAAGCCAAAATGTTGGATACCTTCTAGAGTATTCGACAGAACGTCTTCGATTGCAAACTTGGAGAGGAATGGGGACGTAGGGCAACCTTGTCGCACGCCGCTATTGACAGCGAATTGTGAGGAAAGCTTGCCAAAGACCTTCACTCTGCCGGATGTATGCAGGTAAAGTGCTCGGTATATTTCGCTAGCACACTGCTCTTTAGCAAGCACCGCCATCAAGCAGGTCGATCAACGGATTCAAAAGCGGCACGTATGTCTAGAAATGCAACGATAGTGAACCTGTGATAAATGTGGTCATGTTCGAGGGGGTGGCGCAGCGTGAAGATTTGATCCATACATCCGCTGCTGGGACGAAAACCAGCTTGTTCTTCACGGTAGTATTATTAACGTACTGGGGATAATCTGCGAAGCAGTATGGATGCCAATAGCTTGGAGACCACCAAAATAAGACTGATCTCGCCATGAGTTACGCATGAAGTGCGAGTGCCTTTCTTGAAAATCGGGACAATAACTGATTCGCTCCAAGTGGAACGCACTTTCACTTCATGATAAATTTTTGAGAACAGCGAGATCAGCTGGTTAATGATCGCCACGCCGCCGTATCTGAACAGCTCCAGGGGCAAGTTTGTCTGAGCAGGCAGCCTGGAACCGCTTCAAGTGTCTAAATTGAAAACAGACTTCCGCTTTGCTGGGTGGATTTAGTGGCACGGGCCAGAGTGGACAACAAGGTGCACTACATGTACTGATGGACGGTAGAGGGCAGTTGAATTGCGAGTGAAAGTGCCCCGCCCAGCGGTCCACACGCCTCTGTTGGTTGGTGATCGGAAACTCAACCACCTCGCAAATAACATTGACACTAGCCTTCCTGAGGCCACTGGACCGAATGAGTTGGCAAAGCCTGCGAGAGTTGCCAGAGCGGACATCGGTCTCCATCTCTAAAGCACGCTCCGACCACCGTGCCACGCGATCCTTGGGTAGGCTTTGCTTGAACAGCCGGTTGGCAGAACGGTGCCGCTCGTAGCTACCTCATTCCTCCGGAATATCTTTGCGACCTTCGAACAGCTCTAGAGAACGGGCAGAGATCCAAGCCTTTAGGGAGGCGTCGAGTTAGGCCGCAGCTTGACTGTCCGAAAATGGTCATCGCTTTTCGTATACAAGTCCAGTGTTGTTCCACGTCTTGCGGTACATTGCAACTGAGTGCATAAGCTAGTGAAGACTGATAGCTCGTCTGGACAGAGGAATCAGTTAACCTGTTTACGTCAATCTTGCGGTGGTTCGTGTTTCGAAACCCTCAAAACACTTACAGATTTTCGCGTAGACCAGTGCCTGATTTGCGTCAACGAAGGCGGAACAAAATGACCTGCAGTCCAGTACGCCGCCGCGCCATCTGAAGCTGATTGCAATATGATAAATTTGAGACCCCGGATGTATTGGCGAAGAGGGACGCCAAATTGCGGAACGCTTCTTCGTACGCCTGAAGTTAGTGCTGGAGAGAAACAGATGGTTGTCTTCGTACAATGTGAGAAGCCTTACACCGTTATCAGAGCGGTTCTCATGGAGCGCGTGATGACCACCAAGGTGGCGTTCATATGGTAACAGGCAGCCAACACGTGAAGTAAAATCCCCAGCAAGGACAAAGACATCCGACACTTTAGCATTCGTCAAGAGCTGATGTAGATCCCGGCAGAATTCGTCCTTTACCGATTCCCTACTGCAGTAATTTGGAGCGTACACTGACACCACAAACAAGTTGCGTCTCTCTTCACGGAGCTTGTTGATTCTACATGAACCTCGAGGTCGAACTGCACATAGTCGAGTTTTAATCGGCAGCTAGTCCAGTAGTGCCGCCTCGGCCTTGACACTTTGTGCTATACCTACACCAGCCAAACATGCTGAGGTTGCTTCTGGTTCTCCAGAAGTACGCAGGTGATACCTGGCCTCGTGGTCACTAGGGAATGTCAATGTAGACACAGTGTTGGGATCTTGCAAGCGGGTTTCTGAAAGGCAGCAGACATCAGTGTCTAGGGACTCTAGGGTGAACGCTAGACCGGTTTGCTGTCCAATCTGTATTAGTGTCCGAAAGTTGAAGCACGGCAGACGGAACGAGGATAGGGGACGAAGGAGAGCTATAGGTTGAACTCCTTAATCCGCCGCGTAACCGGAAACGCAGACAGATTTTGAACACACGAATCCAGTAACGGAAAGTAAGGATTGTTACCAAACAATCCATTGGCGTGTAAGAAAGTCGCATGAATGTGAAAAGCAGAAACAGTGGCTGGTGAGCACCCTGTAGTGCAATCCATGGTTTTGTGACAGGGCGTGCTACTACCCGGTTGCTCAAGCCGAAGTAGTGGGTTGACTTAGGGGACCCCACCCCGAGTCTTTGGCTAAATAACCTACCCGCAAGATAATGGGGCGAATTCAGGAGATCGCGCCCATTGGGAGTCGCTGACTGCATGTTCAGTTGCTACGGCTTTCCTTTGGCAGATCACCAAACAGGGGCCCAATACTTCTCATAACTTTATCACAATCGTGGGATTACCCTGCCCCAGGGAGGTGGAACACTGTCGTTTAACACTTCGCTAGAATGGGTTACACTCAG